CGCGTTCCCCACCAAAATGTCTTCTTTATCCGAATTATAATCCCGTCCTTGATTCTCAGTTGAGTCTCCCCTCTGTCCATCCGCTCCTTCATGTCCCTCCTCAGTTCCCGCATTTTCATTTTTTCTCTGGGGTCGTAGTCCGGCTGAAAAAATACTGTTTTGTGCGAGTTCCTTAGAGCTATTCTTCGATCTAGCAGGAGGGCTGCCTGGGCGTCGCTCTTCAAGACTACTTTAAGGGGTCTTGGGGATCAGCTTAAATCATGACTTGGCTCTGCTTTGCCAATGCAACTGGAGTGCATTTTATGTGGTTTATGATTTTTCTCTTGTGCCCTAGCTATTATGAAACAAATCTAAATTCTCGTATCTCTTCGTATTCTCATGACCTAATGAAAAGGTATACCATGTCTGTAGATTTCAGACTAGGCCTTATGTGTCGTCGGTGTCCTCAAATAATTTAGGCAACTGAATAGTCATTTTCTTCAACCTAACCAATATGGCTACGGATCTAGCGTAAGTTGGTTGAGAGCCTATGGGTGTCCTTCTGCATAGTCACTCGTTGTTGCCTTTGCTTCCTATGTTCTGTTGGATGTCTAGGTGAGTTCTAGTGTCCATAATACCTCACCGAAAACCTGCAGAATGTTTTGATATCAACACTCAGACGAAGTATCAAAACGCCTCTTAACAGACTGATTTTTCATAATGAGCCTGAACTGTAAACCCGTAATCTTGTTAGAGATCAAGCTTTTCATCCGAGACTAATGGTCAATTTTTATAGATCTTCTTAAGCCTTATCCAACGTAGTTTGTTCCCCTTCTACACAGCTTCATATTGTGCATTACAACTAGGATGCACAGAGGTATACACCACTTTTCCCTTTGACGAAGTGGCCCCGGGATGGAGTCTATCAAAAAAACGCTTGACTGCCATTTATCTGTTAGGCTGAATTGTCGCTAATCGACCAAGCATTGTGTACGGAGAGATCCTATCGGCTGGATTTGACTCAAGAAACGAATGCCTCACCCGTGCCTGTTAAAACAGAATGCAACCATGATTTGTGGGATCTGAGTATTACAGGGGTCGAGAGTTGGTGTGTGATGGTTACGAGAGGTACATACAAGTTAATATCTTCTCCAAATACACATATGCGATTGTTGCTGTAGCCGGTCGGTATTAAATTACTGGATTAAGCG